CTGCTCGGCCTCTCTCAGGCTCATCCTCTCATGGAGGAAAGAGGAGGAGGAGAGGGCCAGGTGGAGGAAGACCACACCGTCGATATCACCACCAGGATTCTGACCGCAAACAATGGCAGCAACGAGATCCTGCTGGAAGGAGACATCCTGCTTCCAAAAAGCAGAAATGCCATTAAATGCCAGAGTTACCAGAGATGCCTGTGGCAGAAAGACAACAACGGCCTGGTGACGGTTCCCTTCGCCATCAGCAGTGAGTACAGCAGCGGGGAAAGGCAGCTGATCAGAAATGCCTTGCAGTCCTTCCACAGCCAGACCTGTGTCCGCTTTGTCGACCGTAAGAACCAGAACGACTACATCAGCATCGAGAGCCAGAACGGATGCTTCTCTCCTCTGGGCAGACAGGGAGGGAAGCAGGTCCTGTCTCTCAACAGGCAGGGCTGCGTCTACTTTGGCGTCGTCCAGCACGAGGTCAACCACGCTCTGGGCTTCCAGCACGAGCAGACCAGGAGCGACCGCGACTACTACGTCAGGATCAACTGGGAGAACATCGACCCACAGATGGCCTACAACTTCGACAAGCAGGACACCAACAACCTCAACACTCCCTACGACTACTCCTCCATAATGCACTATGAAAGAACAGCCTTCTCCATCAATGGCAGGGAAACCATCACCCCCATCCCCAACCCCAACGTCCAGATTGGCCAGAGGCAGGGCATGTCCTACTGGGACATCAGGAGGATCAACCTGCTGTACGGCTGCTGAAAACACACGTTAGCTTGTCTGATTAGAAGTTTTCATTTGTTCCCAAAGGTTCTTCCACTTATGTGTTCACAAGTGTTTTATAGGGAGATAATGAGCTGTAAGGTCAAACACATAAAGTGCATTAAAATGGTACGCTGGATATTAGTGATTCATTTCCTCGCCAATACTTGTTTCATTCTTTATGATTTGTCTTTTCTTACCTCATCCTTTCTACTTTTTCTTCCACCAATCCGTATCTACAGTCAGGCTTGTGGAAATGTCCTCCTCAATGCATCGCTATTCAAAAAACTATATGATGCAAATACAGTGTGATAATATGCACAGAGCTCTCGTGTTAATTATACATGAAAATAATTCATTTTAATACTCCTTTACTTTTGTGAAGGTCAAATCAAAGGTTGCGAGTCTTCTTTAGCTGTGCAGCTCAGCAAACATATACACATGCAGGAGGGCTGAACGCTAATAAATACATTTTCTCAAGTTGAATCTTCTGTTAAATAATAAGCAGCTAGTTTAAAAACTCACCTGAATGAACAACAGCTGTGCAGGAAAAAAACAAATGTCAAAAAAATGTAACTGATCTTCATCGGGTATTAAAATAAATCATAAAAATATCCAGTAATATATTAAAGATACACTCCTAAGACCTAGATGTGTTTCACTACAGCTAACAGAAAGCCACGTGTACATCAAACATCCTTTTTCTGTTCTTTCTGACAGGATGAATTTTTGAAGAGATACTTAAAATCATAAAGCACGCGCACATTAACAGCTCTTTCAATGAAACACTTTTTATATTTTGTGAATCTAGGTAAACATTTTTTAATGACTTTCAGACCATAAAAAGACCAAAAACACATTTTATTTAAGTCCCGTTGGCCCATTTTGTTAAATAAAAGAAAAAGTTTAAACCAAAGAAGGAAGAGAGCAAATGTTGTTTTAAAACATGTTCAGGTATCACATTTAAAGGAAATCATTTGAATTTAATATGATTAGGAGAAATGTGCATTTTTTTAATCCAACGGGGAACATGTGATACTGAGCACAAGTAAAAGTATGACATACATTTCTAACATTAATCTACAGCATCTGTCAAGGATTCAGGTTGAAGGAATGACAACATTTTCTAACTAAATAAGTATAAATGAAGAAACCCACAACCTGATGGAAAGCAGTGACTCGCTTCCAGCTTCTTATTTGTATTAAAGGAGCAAACTAACAAGTAGGCACAGGCAAACTATTACACTGAAGCAAACAAACGTTCTGAGTGTTTTTAATAGTTGAAACTAAACAGCAAAGCCTCCCAAAGGCTTCAGTGTGACAGCTGAACAGTGTCTGACAGGAAGAGCTTCCCCCGTTTCAGACAATATCTGGCTGCCAGGTTTTACTCTACCTGCCTCAAGAAAGGTGACGGCTACCGGGCGAGGTCGTCACCACCGTGGAAGGCAGGAGTTTGTGCAAAGAACATCGCACGTGACACTCCCGAGCCTCCAGGAGCCACGCCTTTTCATTCTTTGAGTTGCTTTCTGCAGCTTGTTGTACCCACAGGCAACAGGCTGGGCCAGGGGCAGCTTCACAAGGCTGCACAGGAGAACATCGAAGCATCAAGCACATGTCTAAGTATCATCTTGGCTGTTGGGTTTCATTGTGAGCAACTTGCACAACACCCGGGTGTTTTTATTATTCAGTTTTATTTCAAAACATTTAGCACATTGAAATAGATTATTTCCAAATACTGTTAACATTCCTAACTTAAAACCAAAGCTGGATTTCCCTGCAGATAAGCCTGAATCATACTGAAATATAACAACGACAAAGGCTTCCAGGTGTGATCCTGGAAGGCATAATGAATAACTACACTGAACAATTCCTCTTTCAAACATCGGTCCCTCGGTGGATTCTCCTGCCTGCTAAACGAGCCAGTCCAAGTGTCTCTGCTGATGAGCGACAATGTTTTTAATCCTTGCAGCAGGTCAGGTCCACCTTCCTGTTTGCAGGGCTCACCACAGGGTCCAAATCATCTCCTCTATTTTCAAAGGCTTGAAGTGTCGCTGGTGTGTCCAACTGCGAGGAGTTTCCACGTTTCACGGGTTCATTTCTTCCCCATGATGAAGCTGGGCGCTTCTGCGTCATCCTCAGCTTCTCTTTCCTCTTCCTCATCTTCATCCTTGCTTTCGTCCTCCTCCTCGCTCTCGGAGCTCTTGTCGTCTCCCTCCTTCTTGCTTTTAGTTTCACGTTTAGCTTTCTTCGCCAGGAGCTTCTTCTGCTTCATCTTCTCTCGCTTCTTCCGCCGCTTCGCTGTCCTCTCTTCGGCGGCCTCTTTGTTCCGCTCCAGTTTCTCCAGGTACTCCTCGTCCTTAGTTTGCTTCTCTGATATCTTGTCCAGAAAGTCCTGTCTCTGGTACTCTCTGCGGCGGAGGTGGCGATAAACGTGGAACTCTCCGCTGCCTGCACCCGCGCTGGAGCCCATCACGTCCCGGACGAACTCCGGCGGGGCTCGCGGGTTCCATTCTTTGGGTCGGTCCGGGATCGGAGCGAGCTTATCTGGGTTTCGCATCAACTTCTCCAGTTTCAGACGCTGTTCCTCCGCCGGTGTTTTGGCGATAATGAGAGGCTGAGCCTCTTTCCCTCCAGGTTTCCCCGGTTTGTTATTCTTCTGCGTGGGCGCCGCCATCTTTCAAACAGTTACCCTCTTCTTCCTGTGAATGTAAAATGCTCCGGAAGTCCTTTTCTGCTTCTGTGACCTGAAGAAATATATTTTTTATTATAATGTTTTATTTTATCAAAGAAAACATGCCATATTCATATACATGCCACGTGAATGCCACATTATTCGTATTTGTATTGTAACATTGTTACTATTATATTTTCTAAGTTACACAATAACTTTAAACGTCTTACGTTCGCCGGCGTTGAATGACGTATGACGCCACCATTAGCAAATCAGACTCGGCGAAGACTGGGCGAAGCTGTCCAATCACCGTTCACGTAAACGCCCCTCATCGTAACAGTGAGGCGACAGTAGTTTGACTGGCTGTTTTTACTCCGACTCTGGCCCGTCTGTAGGACGTTTCTTCTCCTCTTGTAACGAGATAATTGAACACAAACCATGAACAGTTTATTCCGATCCGCTGCTCGGTGTCTCCGCTCGGGTCCGGCTGTCTACCTGCCCAGACAAACCGACGGCCGCTCGCAGTGGGCCTCAGTCCGGCTCCTGTGCTCGGCGGCGGATCTCCAGAAAGACCTCGGTGAGATGGTGAAGAAGGACAAAGTGGTGGTGTTCATGAAAGGCACGCCGGCGCAGCCCATGTGCGGCTTCAGTAACGCTGTGGTTCAGATCCTCCGGATGCACGGCGTGGACAACTACGCTGCGTACAACGTGTTGGAGGACCAGGACCTCAGACAAGGTCAGTAACCCGGAGTCGGCCTGACAGCAACAGGTTGTCACCTCTCAGGTGAACGTGTACCGTTTTGGTTACTTTGTAACCGGCAGAAAAAGCGTCACATGCTGGGTGCAGCTCATTTAAACATCCTTGAAGTGTCGGGTCCCCTCAGAGTCGTGTGCGAACTACTTAACCTGATCGTTGCCTCATTCAAAGCAGCATTCGGTTAGGATAGCTGTCAACGGCACTCCATGGCCAGTTTTTATCAGTGTCGTGCAGCAGCACCAAAGGGTGGGGTAACGTTAGCATCGGTATCAAAGTCCCGGCCTCTGTCAGGACTCGATCCCCATTGTTCCGATAATGACACGAGACATGTCGGAGAGCAGGGAAGCGTCCTCACAGATGACATCAGCAATATGTGCTCCGTTGTCCTGTCGAAGTGTCTTTAACCACGTTTAGAGTGAAATACCTGATAATGGCCGATTGGATCAATTTACATATTGTTATATAGTCTGAATGTTGTATTTTACAGCCGCATCTGGACCCTAACAAACATATAATGCTGATATTAAAGGGCTTAAAAGAGCGGGGGGGGTTAAGAGAAGAGGCTCTTCCAGTGTGTTTTCTCCTGGCTTCCTCCCCTCACCCCCAACCACTCACAGATGGCCCCTCACTGAACCTGGTTCTGCCTTCCTGCTAAAAGGCAGTTCATCTTTCCCTCTTCCATCAATGGTTTGCTCATAAGGGTCGTCTGATTGTTGGGATTTTTCTCTCCATTATTTACTTTACAGTATAAAGTGCCTGGAGGCCACTGTTGTTGCACTAAATGAATAAATCTGAATTGGGTTGGAGACCCTTTGCTGTGAGTGTGGAGGTTTGTGCTTTTGCTACAGTTTCAGTGGGTAGAAAAAAAAACCCACCCCTCAGATTTACCTTAAAAATGCCAATGAGGCACGTAACCAAACTGCTACGCCTAATTTTAAAACCCACGAGGTGTTCAGAGAAACAGGACTGGTAGTATTAACGCTGTCTGCCTTCCACAGGAGTCAAAGACTTCTCCAACTGGCCCACGATCCCTCAGGTGTACTTCAATGGCGAGTTTGTGGGAGGCTGCGACATCTTTCTGCAGATGCACCAGAACGGAGACCTGGTGGAGGAGCTGAAGAAGCTGGGCATCCGCTCTGCAGTGCTGGACGCAGAGAAAGAGTCCAAGTAATGGACGGGTATAAGCGTGACGCGGCTGACTCATCCAAAGGCGCATTTATCAGGTTGAACCCCTCCCCACTGCCGCCGCCACCACCTTCCACCACACAAACACACACACTCAGTCCCCGAACTAAAAGGAGTGAAAAACACCGGCCACAGAGTGCACAGATAGACTTGGGTATTGTACATTCGGTATTACAGCTTTGTTTTTTCCAGCACAGCTGAGGGCACCATGGGAGCGATGAGAGCGAACCCCAAAGCAAAAGCTGCGGGCCAAATGAAAGCTCCATAGAGCTGAACGATAGCATCGTTACAATAAGTCTTTCCATCCTGTTGTAATAAAAAGCTTTAATACTTCTGCACCTCCAAGAAGAACGGTGACATCACCCCCTCACTCCCACCTCAAACTGCCAGCTGACTGCGACAGAGCCGGCTGTGATCACCGTGTTCAAGCTGCCACCTGAGCGCTCGCTGCGCTCTCACCTGGTTCCATCAGTCCTCTGCGATCTTCCCCTCGCCGCTGTCCTCCACGCTCAGTGTAAGACCAGATGAGCTTTAGACTTGCCTAACTGTACCACGCCTAAATTAAGGGCATTATTCATGCTGCCTGGGCCTCATCGGCCAATGATGTCATCACGCTCTTAAATGCACTGCCTGTAGTTTCAGGAAACGGAACAAAGAGGGGACAACGTGGCTTCGTGCTGGTATGAATATCTTCTCTTTAATGAAGCCACTGATAATCTAGCAGTTTTTTAGTGGCCGTAGCTGCAGAATCGATCACTGGACAGTCCCCTGTTTGTTCTTCCTGCCTGGAACCACGTGGAAACCGTCAATGTCAGGATCCGCTGATACGTAACGTACCTGATACCTTATGTCCTTTTTTCTTTTTTTTTTAAAACCACCCTGAAGATGAGATTACTGCACACGTGTACCAGCCGAAGCAGTTAATGTTGCATCTGTCTGCATTTCACTCTGAAGATGAAGTGTTGTTTTAGTTGTTTTTTCCAGACACCTCACATTTATCAGTCGTAGGTGATCCTCCTGCTGCAGACAGTTGTATTATCAAAGCAACACGTAGTACACTGTAAGATATTGTACAGCTTATTATTAGATGTACTTCTGACGCGTGTAATCAATTCTGCACTGATTAAATATTTTGTGACACAAATGATTGTCGGTGTCGTGCCTCATGCATGTCGGTCTTTTGTAAGCGGGGTTACTCACAGTAGTTTTTACTGTGAGCTGGGCCAGACTTGCAGTAATGTGCAGACGTCATGAGCCACATCATTTCCTTGGGTTTTACTAAGAATTTGAGAAATGGGTGTTTTTAGTTTTTTGATTATTTTTGTAAACATTTTTAAATGCACTAGAAAACAGTTTATAAGACAAACTGACTTTGTACAAGTTTGAACCTGCTGGAATATTTGTTGTGGCCGTCTTTACTTTTCAGCTTTCTTCTCATTTCTCTAAGTATCCTCCAAAAATAGTTCTGCAGGCTTCTTGAAGAACATTCAAAGATCTTTTTGGATCTTGGCTTTCTCTGTCAGGATCATCCCACATTGCTTCAATGATGTTGAGGTCGGGGCTCTGGGGAGGCCAGTCCGTGACTGCTGGTGTCCCAGTGTGTGTTTTTCTGTGCAGGTGTGTTTCCCGGCTCCTGTGTCAGCTTAATACAGTTTGTTTTTTCTAATTCTTGTGAACATGACTCAGACACCGTTCATCTGCTATAAATGCGTTTATAGGTCAGAAACTTCTTCTTTTGTCTAACTTGGTCATATTTTTTAAGAATTCGTTGCACAACATGCTGACGTAAATCAAATATGACATTTTGGCTCCACATGTGAAGGAAAAGTGAATTAAACAAAAAGGTGCTGCACATGAACCTTTTCAGTATCTGAATCTGGCTTCAGGGATTTCTGACAGAACTCTTCATCACTGTGAGATTGGGAAAAGTTACACGCAAATGTTAAAAGGCAAAACTTTCACACGGTGTCTCAGTAAGTGCACATCAAGCTGAAAAACTGTGTCTGAGTCCAGGCCAAATTCAAATGCCAAACACACTCAGTATAAAACATCTGGAGTCTATGTAGTTGGAAGAATATCACAGAATCTGGTTCTGAGACACGAAGCTGCTGTCAAAGTGCCTCAAACTGGTATTCTCCATAGTGGTCAGCAGGGGGCGACTCCTCCCGCTGGAAAATGTGCAACTGTGTTTAAGAAATGGAGGAAATGATTGTTTGTTTCCTCACCAGAGAAACGGAGCATTTCCGAGAGAGAGAGAGAGAGAGAGAGAGAGAGAGAGAGAGAGTGTGTGTGTGGCAGATTAATCACCTTATTCCTAGAGAGAGAGAGAGTGTGTGGGGGGGGGGGACAGCAAACCACTGTGAACACTGACAGAGGCCCTGGTGTGTTCAGGGAGCCCAGCTTAAATATGCAGCCATCATTCCTGTTGAACATGTTTACTGTGCATTTCCTCTTGTGTCATGTCGGCGTGTGCTGGGAAACCACACCTGCTGTTACTCAGCTTCAGGAAGGAACACTTCTGTGGAATGTGAGTAAAGCGCTTTCCTCATTCTATCCTGGGTCATAAATGACATATTGTTATAATTACACAAAACGTGTTCTAGACCCCTAACCCTTCCTGTTATACCCGACTGTTAGGACCTTCAAGCCTGTAGTTTTGTTCATTCTCAGTTGGAGCCCCTCCTCACTGTTCTTCTTCTTTGGTGCAACCCTATAAACAGTGCTCCCCTTTGGCCTCTCCCCTTTTCTACAGTTCCCCTGTGGGGGAGGTCGGTGTCGTCCCCAACACTGCAACACATAATGTATATTTAGCCACCCTGATATTTCTGATTGTGTCTTTAGTTCAGTCATTGTGTCTGTCTTTGCTAGATGCTGTAAATGTGCAGTACGTGTGTGTCACATGTGTTATAGGCACAGTCAGTGCTAGCATGAACAGGTCATTCTTGCTAGCTTGGGAGTTGTGGTGGGTGGAGCTGACCCTCTTCCCTACTGTTTGCATTTGGTTGTAGGAGCTGGAGCGAGGTCTTGGTTTCTTTTACCCTTCATTGTCAGACAACGCAGGAACACACCGGCTACACAAAGCCCGGGCTCGTGAGCAACGTCTCAGCTTCCACTATTAAAGCTTTCTAAGACTAAGTGATGAACGACAGTCACGGTACGATTCTGGAAAACTTTTAAATACAAAATAATACATGTGCGAGTTTTATAAAATAAAACCAAACAATGCTGTACAGTGAAACGACTGTAAATATGGCCGTTGAGCATCCACACCTTCCCCTCCGCTTCTGTCCATAATCCAGTGACGCAGAAACACGGTTAGAAACTAACAGCCAGGATTCAGCTCAGAGTTTCTGCAGGAAGCGCAGCACCAGGTCCCTGAGCGTGGTCCTCAGTGGCTCACTGTCACAGACGATATGCGTCCCGTCCTCCTCCAGCTGAATGAGCGTGTCCTCCGCCTGCAGGTGCAGGATGTGCCCGTCTGCAGTTTCCTCCACTTTAACTTCTGTGATCCCGTGCTGCAAATGAGCACATAACAAGTTAGCATTAAGTTAGTGCTACTATCACAGCACACTGATAGCCCTCTCGCTCACATTTCCCACCTTCTGCAAAGTGGCCAGAAAAGCCTCCAGGGCCACAGCTCCACTCAGCATGGGTTTAGGGGCCAACGCTACGGGGGGCTCCTCAATCACACGCTTCCTCTTCTTGCTGGGGGGCATGGGAGGGGGTTTGGGCACCGACTGGGAACAAATGAAAGACAAATGCAGCTGAGCTCTGATCAGCTGATTCTCTAATGGAAGTGCAAGCATTCTGGGCTCACCTGTAACGTGTGCTTGTTGTCCTTTGAGTGCAGCAACGCAGACACGGTCGCCACAGAGACGCCGGGTTTGATCTCAGAGGGCACCAGGGAGTTGGCCAGCTAGGAAGAGAAGAATACGACTCTCAGCAAGTAAAACCGTCCGCCTGCTTTCTGACAGCGAGAGGATTTCTCAATAAAAACAGCTGATCAAACGCCACGTTGGCATAGTGATCAGAGAATTCACCAGATACTCTGTGGCCAGAAACTCAGATCCATCTCTGAGGAGTTTTGACTTCCTTCTCTTCGGGGCCTCACCTCAGGCAGGATGTAGATGCGTTCGTAGCGGCGTCTGAAGGGCAGGTTGAGAACAGAGCAGCGTCTGTAGGGCATAGGAGGAGGCTGCAGCTCCAACATCAGGTCGGAGCGGTGGGACTGGGTCAGAGGAGGCTGGGTGTACTGCTCGGGACACACCACGTGGAGAGGCTGCAGGAAGAAGACACGGCTTTTACACACAGAGTACAAATGTGAGCGGCTGAAGCTGGCTTTGTTAACATTTAAATTAAGGCTACAGCTAAACGAGAACTAGTGCTGCGAATGGGCCATCCTGGAACTACAGGGATGCTTCGATCAAATCCCTCAAATCTTAAGCAAGACCCGCTGCTTCCCTGAGCTCTGCCCTGAACGCTCACATTGTTCTGCCATTTTATTTGTATATTGCCTGTTAACTTGGAAATCTGCTTTCCATTCTCCCGTTTCACCCACAGCGCTCTCACAGACTCGGTCACTATGGCACAGCACAGTTCTAGCATCATGACGCAGCCTTTCCCTCCTCATCGTAGAATCATTGTTCCTTAGTCTCGGCTCTATTTCTGTGTATTTCTCTCATAATCAGATCAGGTGCTAACAGCATACCTGGACTTCCTTGAGCAGCTTTGATACTTGGTGGAAGTTGAGCCGTGTGTCAATGGGACAGTAAACGCACTTCATGGCTAACGGCTGGTACGGAGCCAGGGCATCCAGGTAGGAGAAGTCCGGCTCTGAGTGAGAAAGATCAGGCACTCAGGACATTACCAGCTCAGGCTTTCCTTGTTTTAGTCGCGTGTGAGAGATGTAGCGATAGCTGTAATTACCAGTAAAGATGATGGTGTTAAGGCTGGATTTGCCCCAGAGCTCCATGAAGTGAACGACGTCCCCGAAGCGCAGAGAGGGGTGACCGGTGAAAACCACGCAGGGCTGACGGAACTCGCTGCTGAAGTCTCCGTGAATGCTGGGGTAGTGCTTCAGCTTGTTGGTTTGGATGAGCTGAAACATCAGCAGCACATTCAAGCACCAGTTTATCAACGTGACCTCGTCACCAGCTCCACAGGTGTACTTGTGTTTTCATCCTGGTAGCTTTGTATCAGTCGACTCTGCTTTTTATAACGTGTGTTAGAGGTATGATGTGCTCCAGGCAAAAGCACATCTCACTCACATTTGATGCAACTCATCTGTTATTAATGACTTGTGACAGCACTGGCCTGGTCGAACATACTATTTGCCTAATGCTTTCCAATTCAAAGTTTTCTCCAACCAAACATGAATTTGCATAAAACATAAATACTTCCTCAGAGATGAAATGCTGGTTTGGTAGCGAGGCTCCAAACGCTCAACCAGACCGCCAACAGGTCTCGCACGCCACAGCCGCTCTATCGCGTGACGCACACGGCTCCGACGTGCTGAGGTTATGAGCCGAGTTACGCCGTGTCGCAAGTTTTGTGAGGTGCTTTTGTGATATTTAACGGATCGGATTACATTTTTATTTCTCTCCGATATCCGATCCAGTAATTTAGGTCAGTATGGGACCGATACGTAATATCAGATCGGTCCATCTCTAACTTTCTCCCCCATAAAGACGACATTTGATGACCTCCACTGGGACCTCAAGTTAAAAACCTAAAAAAGTAGGTTCCCTATAATATAATGATTATTTTCAGTATAAAGGAGAAGTGCACTGCCAGTAGGGCAGGGCAACATGGCCAAAAATATTTATCACCATATATATTTGAAAATGTGTGCTAACGATGTAACTGACGATAGAATTAACCCGAGACAAAATACTTTTAGTGCAAAACACCCACCAAAGTATTTTCACTTAAACAAGCAGCTGTTTTTTGCATTAAAGTTATATAAACTTTAACAGAGCAAACTCCTCGCTGACAGTTTAACCAAAAGGCGTTTCCAGTGGAAACTGGCCGACACATCCTCAGCATAACCATGTACAACATCCACACAACTTAAAGAGGTCATACACACACAGTACGGTAACATTATGTTGAAGCACAGTACGTATCACTCCGCGAGGCTCCGCC